TTTGTCAGGGAGAATTTTAATGTCGTTCTGTTTGTGAGTCTTGGGTCTCACTCATTAGTCCCTTGCAATCACTAAAACATTCCTTAATTCCCAAGTGAAATAATTTTATCTGTGGGTTTTGGTGATTTGATTGTCACTGACTGGATTAAGAAAATAAAAGACTTTTAAAATCCTGACACTGGAAAATTCTGTGCCATGTATGGCAATCCAATCAGTGGAAATGTTCTGATGGCTGATGTTATCAACAGCCCCCAGTTCCACCAGCATTGGGGTGCCAGGGTTATCAGGCAGCATTCTCCTCTTTCTGTGTATGCAATGGTGTTACTGCAGGCTGCAGGAACGGGGCTCCAGCTTTGACTGGATCTCTGAATGCTGCTGCAGTATAAATAACAATATTCAGTAAGTGGAAGAATAGTACTGACAAGATAATGATAATATTAGTAGATTGACTGGGTCTTGTTTTGTTCATGTAATCTCAAATGAGGTTTGCTGCTGCCAACAACTTGTCACTTCCTTGTATTTATTTCCTGCAACTGCAAATAAAGGATTATTCTGTTTTCTTTAATATGAAAAAAGAAGCAGTTGAATCAAAGTAGACCTCTACAGTATTTAACCCTTCTTTAATAGATGTGTAAGTGCAATTGTATTATGTGAAGTGAAACCTTCATTTGAACAGGACCACACAAGCCTCCGAGAGGATGCAAGTAAAAACTATGTTCCTTTCAAAAATTTTGCAAATTTTGAAGGGTCTGAAGTTTCTGTGCTTTCAGTTCATGTGTGGATGTTAAAGAGAGCCCTCATCAGATTAATTCATAATTTAAGTATTCTCCAGGTGGCCATTTGAGTCTTGTGTCAGAACTTTGTGAATCACTACTAATTTCTTCCATTTGTTTTCATGGATTGTTGTTTAATCACTGATTCAGTATCCTCATGGGTATCACAAGGTACAGCACTAATTGCACCAGCAATTACGGTGAAGTTTATTCTTAGTACAGTTTATCCAGAAGCATTATATATAATTAATCTAATTTTGACTGAGACACATAGGCCTGTGTTGATGCTTGCTGTTAAAAAGGCTGGTTGGATGTGAATGCACCAGAGGTTTGGGATCAGAGAGCTGATGCAGTTACACTAACCCAGATTTGACAAAAGGCCTTGGAACAGCTGAGGGAACTGACAGAGTGTCAGCACTGTCCCATCAGATGGATCTCAGGAACATTCCTTCATCCTTGAGCTGGGCTGGTTTGTCTGAGCAGCACACACAGGTTTGGAAGAGCACACCCCATGCTCATCTCTGCATGGAATCTGATTCTCCACTTAGAGCATACAAGTGTAAGCTGCTCTGGCTGCTGCCTCCTGTCTCCATTTTTACCAGAGGGGCCTGTGATTTGGTATAATTTCCTGTATGTTATCTCTGGTAAAACACTACAGTCCTGGTTAGGAGGTATTTTTGTACATATTGCCACCAACTGAGGAAATTTGGACATCCTTCCTCCCCCCAAATTAGTGATTATTAACTGGTTTCAACTTGTTACTTAAAATTTGACACTGATGTGGGCTATTGTTTTTGTGAGCAGAAATTGGATAGTCAGTATCGCTAATGGAGCATTTTCAGAACATGAAATTATGACCCTTGGCCGTCACTATGGCTTGAGAGATGAMAGTCAAACAGACCTGCAGCTCCTCCTTTCACTGGCTCAAGAAAAACTAAAGAAAAATGCCTTTGAATATTTTGAACAACTGATGTCAGTGTTTATGTACCACGACCGAGAAAAGTAAGTTTCCTTTCTTTGTCCTAAGCTGTTATTTCAGAAGCWCTTCTTGTAAATTCGTTTACTTTCTGTTTGTTGCTGAGCAAATGGTATACTGTGGCCAAAAAATATAATTTGTAATGTTAAGCCTGTCTCAGCACTTGACAGTAGACAAGGAAAGGACAGTATTTGTGTCTCTTTTGCATTTTGTGTGGACTTTTTATTATAGATGCTGTACTGAATGTTCTGCGACATCAGATACCTGTTCATGGGCAAAACACAGGATTTTAAATCAATGAGGAGTGATTTAATGGGAAAAAAAAGAAAGGATTTGGATTTTTTATGTAACTCATTTGCCTTTTTTGTTCTCTGATGTCACAGATAAAGAATCACAGAGAATCACTGAAGMTCTCAGTATGAGAAAAGCTATGATGTGACCTTCAAGCTTCTCAGCTTTGGAAAAGCAAAATTTCATAAAACTTTGTTTTCTTTACCTCTGTTCTAAGATTCCTCATGTTTTCCTAGTCACAGAAACATTCACATGAAGTAAACCTGAAAAATACCTAATGTTTATTTCTACCTCTSTCTTTCTGATGTGCAGGTGTGGACGGTTGCCCTATGAGACGTGCAGGACTATTTGCAAGTCCTTTCAGATGCCACTTGATGATGTTCTTCTAGAAACTGTACTGGCCAGGTAACTTAAGGGCAGGTAGTATGACCTGCATAGGTGCAAACCAATGTTAAATTGAKGCAGAAACAAATCTTTGGAATTTGTCATTTGTCTAATACAAATCATTTAATGATGCAGATTTTATCCCTACAGATGTGCATATTTTCCTTTTTATTGAATGTTTATAATCAACTGAGATGCATCCATCTTAGCAACTTCTCTTCATTTTGTCTTGCCTGGTTAATTATCTGGGGTTTGACAGAATTCTATGGAATTAGTCTTTCCAGAACCAGTTACTGATACTTKTCATTTTCAATGAGATTCACTTTTTTTTGCTTTACTTGATCCTGTATGTAAATATAAGGTAAAAACAATAATTTTATGAAAGGACATTGTGTGAGTTTCAAGAAACACATTAAGATGAATACAATGAAATGTCCTTATCAAGTAGACAGCGTCAGTAGTAAATAAAATTGGTTTGCTACTCCTTTAATCTCACCTGAAACATATTTTATTGTCATTTTTAAAAAGGAAAAGGAGTGTTGRCATGGCTTTGGTTCTTTTCCATAGTACATTTAGCTTTTGTGAGACAAATTGCTTTGCTAGCTGTGTTAATGGGAATAAAAGTGACAAGAACTACTATTCAGTGCATTTATATCAAAGACTAGAGTTCAGAGAAAGCTGTGGTGCTTTGGACACTCATGTCTTGTTGAGCTGGTTTTCCTGGTCAGATTTGCTGGTAATAGGTTTAAATGCATGCTTACATGTTTTTCTTTCCCTTGAGGGAAATCCTTACATGTTTTGTCTGTGCTTTCACACTGAGTTAAGAACAGAACAGGTCTTGTCTTCTGTCATGTTTAGATGCTTTCAGCTAGATATACTTCTTGATTTCAGGAGGTGTTGCAAATTAGGCGTCTGGATTTAGCAAATAATGAAAAGACCCTTGTCAGGCAGAAAGGCAGAATCAATTTCAATAAAGGTTCTTCGTACTGCTGTTCTTCACTTCTGACACTGAGTTCCAAGCATTAGTCATCACAAACATGACTGAATTTTAACAGTAATCTACAACTATTTTAGAACTCCCACCAAGCTGCCCAACACAATTGTTGGAGGACAATTGACATCCTGYAGTAGACAAGGGATTCTTACAGATTCTATTTCTTAAGGGCTGAGCTTGAATAGATGCACAACAAGGCACTGGAAGTTTGCCTTTATGTACTAACTCAGTTCTGATAAGAAGCAGACAAGCCTGACACATCCTGGGCTCTARGGACGTGTTTATTGTTTGTGAATTTATACCAGGGAAAGCTTTTGTGCCCTGAACCTCTTCTCTCCTAAGGAGTCTGARTGTAGGCAGTTAAAAAGAAAAAGCCCAGTACACTATAATAAAAATAAGAGATAAGCTTAGAACACATGGAGGAGATCAAGGGCTGGATTTCACCCAGTCTTAGCAAGGTACCTCTGACAGTTGGATGAGGTTTCAGCTGCTGTAGGTTCTTTCTGTGGGTGGTGGAGGAGAGCGTTATCTCCTCAGCTTGTGTGAGAGCTGCATTTCTAAATTACCCTCCATTTTCCTTAATTTCTAAAGGTCTGAGGCYAGCTTGTGTTACAGATTTCTGTATGAGAAAGGTAAATTAGAATGGTGTGAAGCTGTTCCTCAGAAATCTGTGTGGGAAGCTCTTCATTTGACAGAGAGCCTTGTGTAAGGCACTTTTAAGTTACAGCATCAGCTGCTGCGAAGGTGGCAGTTTAGGTGGTGTCACAGCACTGCAGGTATTGAGGGAGATTATCACATTCTTAATGATGTGTGCACTTGGCACTGCCTGGGAWGTTTATTGTTTTATGAGGATACAGAGTTGGGGAAAGATTTTTTGGAAGTGCATTTGATAGGACTTAATTTCCAGCAGCCTGTAAATCGAAGAGTTGAGTTGTCTCCATGAGATTTAGACCTTTCCWTTCCTTCTGCTTCCTGTAGATTGCTTCAACACTGAAGAATCATTAAACAGGCAGGTTTATTGTTAATCAAGAACAGTCTCATTCCTGGGGAGTTTGCAATTCAGTGTGGGCCAAGGTTGTCAACAGTATTCTTTCTCTGTTTATTTTGCTTTTTTTTTTTTTTTTTTTTTTTTTTTTTTTTTTTTTTTTTTTTTTTTTTTTTTTTTTTTTTTTTTTTTTTTTTTTTTTTTGTAATGAGGAAGCATGTAGTTTTGTGTCCACTGATATTTCTGGTAGTGGTGGTGGTTCTACTCTGTGTATCTGTATTTAAGACAGTGGTACAATAAAAGTTGTTGGACTGATTCCCACAAAATCAGTAAATATAGCTAATGCACTAGCTGGACCCTATTCAGCTATAAAATGATGCTGGACAGTGTGATCAGATAATAGTTGAAGGCTGAAGCTCTGTGTTTATTCAGCTTTGCTATCTGAGATTAGGTGGCAAAGACTTTCTCCAGGACTTAATGACTCTATTTTTCCATTCTGAAAGGTAGTATTCTTAAAGTATTTATTATTTACATTTGTAAATTATACTGCCATTCTCTGTCACTTATTAAAAGCATGGGATGGAACTAGAAATGTCTAATTTTGTGGTCACCTCCAAATGACCCAAGACTTTTTTTACTGTACTCAAACATCACTCAGTTGCCAGGGAGCACAGGGAGAATTAGCACAAAAATTGGGGCTTCACAAGACCTTTTCATATTGTCTGCCCAGTATAAATTTATATTTTTAATTGTGGGCTGGTGAAATAGTAGGATTTAGGTACTCAACAATGTGAACGTTTTTCCAATTTACCTGAGCTGGCGTGTTAAAAATTATTTCCTTTCTCCATCAGCATTTTCTCACTTACTTTTTTAATCACAGAACAATACAGAATTTAATCTTATTGTATTAAGCAATGCAGATGGTGCACAGTTGTTTCTGCCAGAAAACTACAGTAGTCATTATAAACATGTCTTTAAATTTATGCAGGCATAATGAACAATTACAATTTGTTTAATAAATAAATTTTGYCAAAGTGCTTAAGTAATGAGTTTAGGGGTTTCTTTTCTGTTATTTTTATTTACTGGAATGCTAAATTGATGCTGACAAGGACTTAAAAAGAATCAGTCCTTCCCCAGAGGATTTATAAACAGCTGGCAGATAAGAAAAGAAAAAATGGAGAGAAGACWGAATGGATGACAAATTTACAACATTACACGTTGGTTACTCTGTATTAGTTTAGTTGTTAATTGTAGGTCTCTATTTTTTTAAATTATGTCTTTAAATTTCTGTTGAAAGCAGCTGTGTAGTTTTTCACCTCTCTACACTGCTGGGTGAGTCTGTTTGAAGGGTGCTCATTGTTTTGCAAAGYGAATCCCTGGTCCCTCAGGTAGCAGTGCCTGATGGCTGTGGGCTTCCTACATGGGCATCCCAGCATGGTCCCAAATCACATCCCAGTTCCCAAATCACTTACAGGCCAGGCCAGGCCACTCCTACCCGCAGTTTTTCCCAGGATTGTGGCTAGGTTATAATTTTTTACCTAGGTTCCTACCTTTAATGTTTTTAGGGCTGCCCTTTTTCTTTCAGGAAGCAAACTCTCTTTTCCAGCTACAGCAAGTGTCCAGTAGCAGGAGCAGCAGTGGAAATGATCACAAGATCTTTCTCCTGCACTCTGTCTTCTTGTTGCCTTTGGTGCCTGAGACTCCCTAAGCTATTTGTGATTAAAAGGCTCCCTAGGTTTCATATTTGGGTCTCTTAAGACAAATTATTCCTGTCACTCARTTTGTTGAGAAGCTGATGGTCCAATTCATGGTTGTTCAAGATATGAATAGATGCATTATAAATATAAATTAAGAAAAACAAGATGGTAGCCATTGTTATTTAATGCTGACTTGTGCTTGCTGGTTTAAATGTTTTCATRTGAGCAGTTTATAACAATTTAGATGTACACCTGTGACAATTTAGTCCCTGTACAACTGTGTTGCACAGAGACTATGAAACAGGCTGAAGAATCCAAACATTTTCTCTAAGGTTAAARCAGCAGATGCTTCTGCTCTATTACTACCAGATTAACTTCTTAATAAATGTAGTTTGAAATTAAGGAATTAAAAAAAAAAAACAAAAAACTTCTGCATGTACATTAAACTTTCAATAAGTCTTTGGGATACAGATTTCTTGATGGGAAAGAAAAAAGCACTGAATAACCTTTACTCACCAAAGCATCCTCAGGAATGATCATAATGTGATTTAACCAGATTTTTCACGTATCTGGAGTATTTAATTAYAAATGTATTTTTAGAAGCAGAAATGTGCGGTTATTTCTGTGATGATAAAGAAAATAAAAAGCTCTTCAAACTATGATAGAGATGGAGGAGTGAYTTTCATAGTCTAAAATCACATGCATTGTTGAAATAACAGAGCAAAACTGAAGAGAAGGGTGGTTTAAAGTTATCTTTGTTGCATCTTCTTGATAAGACAAATCTAATTTCCTTTCCTGAAGAGCACTGTCYGTCTCAGTATTATTAACTCCAGCCACTGAAATGTATGACATCTCTGTCCTAATAATGCACTAAATGATAACATCTCCTCMGTCCATCTGGGTGCTCTGTGCCAAATCTCTAGTGTGTGCTTTTAGTAGATTGATACAATAAGTCACAGCAGTAAAAGCATCTAATGAGCAGATTTTTTCTTTTTCTGGATTATTCTAGAGTAGTATTTTAAGATGCTTTCTGTAGTTATTTAATTATAAAATTTAGGAATCCCATTTCCTCTGCCCATGTTAAGATTTTTGGTTGTAGTTAATTTTGAGCCCATGTTGTCATCTCAGCTCACTAATGCTGTCACAAAGGTCTTTTCTCCTTGTAAATGTTTGTCAAAAGCAGAAGCAATGCTTCCCTCAACTTTGGTGMCTCATCAGAAAGTTTAAATAGTCACACACCTTCATTTGTTCTTTATTTAAAAATCCTGCTTATACAGACCAGCATCTTGGTGATAGAATTGATCTTTTGSCTTTTCACAATGAGCAAAAGGTAATTACATAATAGTAAAAGTCAAAATTATTTGTCCTGATAGTTCTGAAATTCCAACCTGTGTGCCATTGTTTTTTTCTAGAKGTATAAACTTTTTGATTGTCTTATTTTACTAATGCAAAACTCCTATCTTTTCCCTATTGCCACCTGCAAAAAATCCCCCTGAAACTAAGAACCCCAAGGAAGTGGGAATGATAATTCTCTTGTATATTGGATATATTCCCCAAAAGTAAGGCTTTATGGAAATGYTAGCTTGCGTGTGAACTATGATAAAGAAGCAAGCTGTCATAGGAGGGTTTCTCATGGCAATGTTTCAGACTCCATTTAATACTGGTAGCAGTAGCATTCTTTTCTGACTTTGCTTTCATCTGCAGCATAACTCAGTGTACTTAACATTCCAGTTTATCGCTGCCATCTCTGTTTATGGCTCTCAGTATATTTTATTATTATCTTTCCTGCTGACTATTAAATGAAAGGTGTGGGGGGAGGAGAAGGAAARGATGAGTTGCAGTTTATTGCTGTTTATTTTTGTCATCAGATCTATTTCTCCTCCAGTATTGTTTCCCAAGTTTGTTCTGTAAATTCTCCCTTTAAGTGCCTTCATGCTTAATTTTTATCAGAACCCTCTGCAGCAATTGAAAGGTTTTGAGGCCCATGTTTTGTGCACTGCTATCTCATTAAGGACAAGYGAAAATGATTTCCTGAAATACTTATTTCCTGTGCAGTAGTGTTTGTTTTACCAGATGGCAGGGCAGAATAGTTTAACCTGGTGTCACCCACCAGATAAGAGATACCGAGTCTTGTTGGGTATCCATGTCTCTCCACGGACCCCAGTGAAGCACAGACACATCCAGGGTGTGTTTTTGTGCCCAAACTGTCTGCCTTTTGCAGTTGGGTGGTGTTGGGTGAGACAGGTGTCCTTCAGAAGCTGCCAGTGCTGTATTTATTGCAGAGCAGTCCAGCTGCTCATTTAAAGCTTCAGCTTGAAGGGATCTTTGAACATTTGGCTGGTGACACTGGAAGAACAGCGGCTCCCCAGTGCCTGAATCACCTCAGAGTTCTGCTGAATTGAGGACTTTAATTTCTGAAGCTGCTTCATCCAAATCAATGGCAGAAGGATGAAGTGGCTTATAAATCTGTTCCCATGGGGCTTATTAGTGCAGGGAAAGGATTTTAGAAATCTGAGGGAGGGAAATAGTATTTTCCACATGTACCAGTAGACCTTAGCTGGCAGCWTATATATCTTCATGCATTTAGGGGACAGCCACAACTGACAAAAATATATATAGTTATCCATGGAAGTAACAAACAATGCCATAAACCTGTTACCAAATGATTTTAAAATCTGGCCATTATTTGATACATTGGAGAGCTGTGTGTTAATTACAAATTGATCCCAAGGTGTGTGCAAACATCATTTTTGAAGGATTTCTTATTTCAGGAAATGATTGTAGAAGTCAGATAATAAAGCAGGTCAATTGTGGTACAGCCCAGGTCTCTTGTATCATGCTGTTTGTTTCTACACAAAGGAATCATACAATGACAATCCCTATGTTTCTCAAAAGCTGTGAGATCTGTGTCAGAAAAGGTTGGGCAATGCTTCAAAACTGAAGTGAAAATAGTTTAAATGAAATAAACCTTAAATGAATTGAATTCTACTAAAAGAGACAATAATAAGGTGTAAGAATATGGAAAAGAATGTATACTATAGAAGCTCATGACATTTTGTGTTGTTTTTCACTCCTGCCAGTGTTTGGGAATAAAATAGTGTAAAAAATATTATCCCAAAGGTAATGATTAGTGTACTGCAGATAATACTGCAGTTGATGATACAACTTTGTTAAAAATCCCTTTAACCTTGAGTCATCTTAYGGATATTCTGCTTAGGTTTGAAGATAACCAGAACCAAGTAGCCTATGGAAACTTTGTGCATGGGCTGAACTGGAGAGAGCACCAAGTCCATGTTTTCGAGGTGATGCAGGAGCCACCCAAGGTAAAACCACTGTATCAATATAATTTCTCCAACTTTAACATGAGTGTTTTAGCCAACATGCACAACAACATCTTTTCATAYTTGTGTATTTGTGCCTGTTTTCTTTAAGTAATTATTTTTTTTTAATAAGAAGGTTTAGGATGAAGCAGAGAAACAGGGAYGAGGAGGTGTTTAATAGGTATCACATCTCTGGGACATTTTGTAGAAGAAAAAAAAACAGAAGAGAAGGGCAAGCAGGTRTATTTATCCATGGACAATGGGCATGAATGCTGTTTCCCCCCAYAAATATCCCTGTCACATGTCAAATGATCTGTTGACTTGCTGAGGTAGTCAGAAAATACTTCAAGCTCCACTGACTAATATGCAGGAAATAGCTCTGCATTTTGCATAACTCCACAGAAATCTGTACATAACACACCACATCTCTGGTGGGCGTGCACCAGGAGGAGAACTGATGGATCAACTTTGGATATCTCCAGCCTGCTACTTAGGGTAAATAAAAATGCAGTTTCAACAAACTGCAGAGATTAATCTGATCTTGCCATCTTGTGCYGAGTGGAACATTTAAAAATAGAAGGTCCATACAGCAATTATGCTGAATTTTAAATACTTTGTAACAGATAAATCCAAAGGCCCTCTGCCAACACATCATTTTGTTGTTCTGGCCTGGCCAATGTCTTGTACAGAATGTGTTTGACCAGGCCATTTAGAAACACAGCATTCCTTTGAATTCAAGTTCACTTGTGACATAGTTTAAGCCAGTATTCTTCAGGCACTGTGCTGAATCCTCACTCCTTCCTGACTTACCAGGATTTTTCTCTGTGGCATCTCAGACTGTTGCTGGTGTCTAGTGAGGGCCCAGGGCTGCTGCTTTGCTCTGCTTTCCATGGTTGTTTATTTTTCACTTTGTGAAGAATTTTTCTGTCTTGTACAGATGAAATCAAAGCCCTTCCACATGTTTTATACAGCAGTCCTGTGGATCAAGGTGTGCATTAGGTTTTGTTCAGGGGGTATTCTTTGTTTTCACAGATGAATTCTCTAATTAAATATTAAATATTTAATATTTTAAGAGAGGTAACTACAAAATAGAAAAAAAAAATCAGAGACAGGAAAGGTTTTAAATCTTGTTCAAATTTATAATTCAGTTATTCTGTGAATGACTTACCATAAATTAATAGCAGTATTTTGATTTTACAGAACCTGTATTTGACAGTTTTCAGCAGCAGAGCTGTGCTTCTTTAGCTGGCTTTCTTTATTTTTTCTCTTTATCTCATTATTTGATTTGATTTTTGTTGTTGAGACATAGATTACTTTCAAGAATTGGAAGTGTAAGCATTATAATGAAGAAAATATAGCATTGTTTAATTTAAAAATGTCTGCAAATGGCTAATGATAGAAAATATTTTTAAAAAAATGTTTTGCAACATTGAAAAGAACCACATGTAGTAATCTTTTAAGATGTCCTATACAAAGACACATTTTTTCCCAGATTTGTCTGTGGAATTGAAGCAGCTCATACAATCTTTTATTGACCAGCTTTTAATTATTCTTGCTTTCATTATCATATAGTAAGATATTTTCTGGGTTCCTAATTTCAGAGGGAAGATATCTGGAATCTACTGCCAAGATCCCCTCCTGTGCTTGGGATCAAATACCCTCTTCTTCTGGATGATCTGTTTGGAAAGGAAGAATAATCCCATCTGTGCAAGGCACTGATTTTAGATTAGTGGTTCAGCTCTGAAGATTACTTAGAGAGATACAGAAAACATTTCTTGTAAAAGAAGAAAAAATCAGATGTAGGTTTTATTGCATTTAATTTCTTGTTCCAACAAAGATGTATACTTGTATGTTTTTGGAACTCTTTCTAAATCAACAACACTCTGTCATCCTTATACAAGCATAATTAAAACTATATCCTCTAATCTCTGTGACTGGTTGTATGGAGAATTTGCAAGTATTGAGAAATCTTTGAGCCAAACCATGCAAAATCTGACTGACCCTGCTTTGTTCTGCAAATAAACATTGTTGGATGACCTCTTAAAATTGGGTTGGACTGTGTTAGCACAATAATGCCATTCCATTCACATTTCCTCCCTCACTCTTCAGCTTCTATCTGTGTTTTTGCTCTATCCCCTGGTGATGCTCGAGTGCTGTTTGTTAGGTTATATGTAAAGTTGGTTATTTTGTGGAGGAAACGCCAGCAAGGTTTTTGCACACTATAAAGCTGCTCTGGTATCAGAGATAATTACAGCCTTCCAAAGTGGAAACAAATGTTTTGCAGGCACGGCACGGAAGCTGTCAATTCTTGCTTTTTGTTTTAAATGTGACTCAGGTTAGTCCCACCCATATTTACTTGGGTGGGACATGTATCAAGAGMAGGGGTTGCAGTGCAATTTCAGCGTGCAGCATTCTGGCAGCAGAGCTGTACTTGCCCTCTGAAAATTGCCTTTCTCTTTCTCCATCATTTATTGGAGTTCCTGTTAGCATTTTTGTATCTTTTTAAGCCTAGGCCAGCTCAAAGCCATGATTAGATTTGGATTTTCTTCATGCTGTTGTGAGAGGAGTAATTACCCCAATCTGAAGAATGGAAGAGCTGAGGTGAAGAGCTGGGGAAGAGGAAGATGTGTGAGCCAGTGCACCTCAGCTGGTGCCTGGGAAGACTAAGAACCTGAAATTACAGTGTTGGGGAGGAATTGTTTGATTTAGATAGATGAGAATTCAATGTATCTAAATCCCCAAACTGAAAGACAATAGTAATTTTTTTTGAAACTTGGAGATCCCTCTTGCAATTACAATTCCCTTTAGAAATACCTTCCTACACTGTTGCATGATAATGTGAATGAAATTCTTATTCTTTTTGTGCCACATGGCAAAATATGAAGCTTTTTGCAGCTCTTTGCCTTTTTTGCACCTAAAAAGGTCTTGAGACAAAGCATAATTATGTGTATTGCTGCTGCTGAGGAGAGGGTAGCAATAAAATGGGCAAGGAAGTGTCTTTGTCCAAAGGCTTAAGAAGAAAAAGATGAAAGCCTGAAGTGCTCCAAGTTGTAGACAAAATCATTAATTGCTTTTTGATCCAAAACGGGAGAATGATTCCTTACGCGACAAAAAATGTGTGACCACAGTGACAGTGTCGGGATCTAAAACAATTTGTGTTTGAGGCTGTTTTGGTGAAAGCTGGATGTTTTTATAACATGCCTCCAAAACTGAGATTGACAGTAAATGAATGAWGTTTTTCCTGTAAATTTTCAATGCTCCCAAGACTTCAGAAGGATTTGTTTACATTGTGGAAATCTTGTTCAGCTGAGGGCTTCCGAAAAAATGTCTCAACATTTAGAACCTCACAAGTAGCTTTTAGAAAAGACAAATTCACTTGGTTTCCCTTTATGTGTGTGAGACAAGAGGAGTCYTTTTAAAGAAAATAGTTCAAGAAATAGAATTTTTTATAATTTCATGTGGAACCATGTGCATAGTCCAGACAATCATGGTCTGGTCATGGTCAAGAAAGGTGACTGCAAACTGGAACAAGTGCAGAGAAGAGTTAGAAGGGTGRCCAACAGGAATGGAGATAAGAAAGGTGACTAAAGGAGCATGATTTAATTTAGAGAAGTAAAATGAAGGCTCAGATTGAATATCACTGCTCTCTGTAAATATGTTATTGCCAGCCGAGACAGATAATCTGGTTCAAGTAAGAGCAGTGGTAGTCTTAAGAAAAAAATGAGTATAATTTGCCATGAATGAATTAACACTGGACAACAAAGGTGGTTTCTCACTTCCAAAACAATGAGGGTGTCAAACAGCCTTCCAAGACTGTTGTACTCAGTTTTACAGTTGAGATGGGTTCATCTGATGATGGTAATTTTAGGATGTTTATTAATACCATTCTGAATTATTAGTGTCWCTTCTSGTTTTCTCTTTTCCCCATGCATCTYGCATAACCCTGACAAACACAAAACATTCTCCTAGGAGAGGGCAGACAGGGCCTGAAAAATATTTTCATTGCTTGTCATAGTGTGTCATACGCTGTGCCCTGACATGTTATAAACACTTTTCACCAGGTTTTCTCTCTTACAAGCAGCRGTACTTCCAGAACGGAAAGCCCTGGTCAATGGGCAGCCAATAATCCTCTTTGTATAATGTGACTTACAGCATATGCTGCCCAGAATATTTCAACCTCTCCTCTAATCCTGCCACCAGCTTCTTCTCTCTTTTCACATTGCTGCTGAGGGGCCTGAATGAAGACAATACCCCAGGGTTATGTTTCCAGATGGCAGGAGGCCACGGCTTAAAGCACGCATGGCACAGAGGGGAAGGCAGCCCCCACAGTTGCCATTAATCCAGCCCAGGATCTCTGTAGGGCAGCCAAGGGTATCTCCTTTCCACAAATATCTGCGCTGTCCCGGCAGGAGCGGAGGGATTCACGTTACAGCGCCGGCTCCCGTCCCACTGCTGGGCTCTGCTGCCTGCTCAGTGTTAATGTTTGCTTCCTCAGCTTGGCATTTGGGAAGCAGAGGCTCCACGGTCTCTGGAATAGCTGCTGCTGCTGCTGCTGGCAAGGAAATGGCTGTGAAGAGTTTGCCTCAGAGTGCCTGGGCTGCCATGGGCAGATGGATCCCCTTGGACATGGGCAGCCACGGACATTTGCTGTGGGTGAAACATGAATGTTCCTCACCAGGGAGTATTTTCCTGAGTCCTGCTCGTCATACAGGCAGCTTTTRTGTTTTTCCAGCAGAGCCATTTGCACCAACATCAGGGAGATGTTCATCTGCATAGATGGAAGGATTAAAGTCCTCCTCCTGCAGTTGTTCCTCATGTGCTGATGTGAGTTTATCCTACTTCATGGAAAAAGTTTGGGCTCAGTTGGCTCCTACGTCTGCTCTCTCTGTTTTGTCCTTTTAGCCCAGTAGACATTGCTGCCTCCCAAAGGAAAACTTACTCTGGGAAAACTGCAGGGATCCTACTTCCACAAAAACCAAAATACTGGATGTTTTCAGTCACTTGACTGCATTCAGAGAACAGCCGCCTGTGTATCATTAGCAGAAATTCACCAGGCGTGTGCTTGCTGGGCCCTTCTAAGTGTTCCTGTGGTTTGAGACATGGAGTAATAGAAGAATTTCACAGTTGTTAACATTTTCTAGTTCCATGACATGGAGGGAAACATTAATTTTTTTAAGCAATAATGCCCCGTACCCTCCGTAACTTAAGTATTGCATATTTACTTGCAGAATTTCTTCCTCTTCAAGGTTGTTTAACCATCAAGCTGCAGTATGATGAGAAAGACAGAATGGCAGCCTGTTTGTGAAGAATTTAAAATATCAGGAGGAAGGAAGTACCACAATCTGAGCTCAGACAGATTTTAAAAAAATTATTTTTAGCCTTTAGAGGCCAGTATAGATAACATTGGAGAGAGAGCTATCTGGAAAGAAGACTTTTTAAAGTTACTGTTTGCCCTAAATCAATTTCTTGTAGTTTATTTAGGATGGTGGCTCAGAGCCAGTCAGAAGCGGCACTCCTGGTTTAGGCAATGGTCAAAGATGCCAGAAGGAGGTGTGGGGGAAGGTCCATGTCCCTGCCAGTTTCCAATGTAAAGTTTATAACCAGGAAGCATAACCAAGATGAGGAAGTTAATATAACTCTAATATATTAAGGTAATGGATTGATTAAATCAACTCTTTYTCTGCACATTTCTCTGGTCATTTTTGAATCATCTGGAAGTTTCTTCTGGTATGTATAACACACAAATGAATGAGCTATCCTCATCTGCCCTTCACCCCAGCCATCTGTCCTCTCTGCTCTCCTCTTTCATGGGGATAGTTTTGTATTTAGAACCACAAACAAAGAGAAGTAAAGGAGCTGATTCACAAACTTACCCGAAATCTGATGCAGATCCCTGGCAAGCAGCGTGGTGGGATGATCTKTAACAGCACAACATTCACTGTGTCACCTGACAGCTCTTGAGAGAGCTCCCACTTCCAAAGCAAATCTGCCAGAAGGATGGCATTGCCTCGGGAGACAAGARCTKCCATGCYRCAGGTGGGACAGCCTCCTCCAAATYAGAATTCTATGGGTGATACTCATCTCCCCTGCCCTCGGATGTCAGCACTGCAGGTGTCTGCACCTGCATTTTTTTGGATCCCTTATTGCTGATGGAATGGCAATCAGCACCTCCAGGGAATGACCAGCCCACAGGAATGTTTAGAGGAGGTCTGATGTCCCTGCCCACCCCTCTGCACCAACAGAAGGGATTGGAAACAACCAGCTGAATGTAATGTTTGCATCTCTGCTGGGGGAGAGGAGTGCACTCCTGGGGTCTTGTCTGCATTGTGAGAGGAGCTCTGTGCCAAGCACGGCCACCTTGGCTACTGCACACCCGTGGGCAGGAAGGGCTGAGCTGGACAGACTGGACAGAGTCCATGAGACCACGAGTCCAGGCTGAATGTCCCTCTCCTGGGATATTCCAGAGCTGAGCACATTCAGTGCCACGTTTATTGGGAGGAACTGACTGTGCTTGAGCTTGACTCTGCCCGGTGGGCCTTGCTCAGACTTCCCTCCAGCTGGGTAAACAGGAATATCTGGGTTGATTTAAATGGAACTACGATTTCTTTTGTTAGAGCTTTCTGAGAATCTAACTTAGCAAAGTATTTAAGTGTGTGCATAAGGCTGTCCTGTTTGTTCAAAGCTACCCCAATGTGTGCAGTCAGCTTGCTAAAATCTGTCCCACAAAGCACTCCTGGAAATGCTTTCCTGCTAAAGAGGAATCCCTAATTTGGTCATTAAGAAATTATATCATTGTAATAACATCCCCCCCCCCACCAAAAAAAAAAACAAAACAAAAACAACAAAACATAAAAGGAGGTAGCAGTGAAAGGAGGTGATATAAAATTGTCTGGACATGTTTATAGGCTATATATTGTGTGTTGTTATTGCAGTTCTTCTACAATATAAGMTAGCAATTAGCAATTAAATTCCCATTATAGGATCATATTGGTAATTGAGACAAACTGTGAGTGTGTAACTGTTTTAAA